TCGTTGTTAAACAAGGCTTTCGGTGAATTTGCAAGTTGCACGACCAAATGCACGGTTAAAATAGGCGACTAGTGAAATACAGCCCAAACTACATTTTATGAAATAATGCTATCTTAAATTTAAAAATACTTATCTGGCTGGTGTCAATCACAAAGGAGCCTTTATGCTTGCTATTGCCGTTGAACAGTTTCAAACAGCTGATTTTTTCAATAGAAGACGCAACGCATTGACTTATAAGCAGTATTTCTAGGAAAATTAACAACTGTTTCGCCCTTTAACACGAATAGTTTAGGGATTTGGCATATTTATAGCCTGAAGGCTCAAAACGGTTAGTATTTTAAAATGGGCTTTTATGAACTATGAGAGAAGTGGTTACTCTTTGCGGTTTGTAACAGGTATAACTAACAAAATATAGTCGTCCGAAGAATGTTTAGGGTCTTCATTTTGAGGAAGCGGCCTTAATACACCTGGTCCACTATCTTTATCATATGTCGTCTACAAAACGGGAAGTTTATTCGGAGGAGCACTTTGTATGACACAAACCTACTTTCAGCGGCTAGAAACTGTCAACTATCCGCATCCGAAACATCAGTAGATTACCTTTCTCTCAAAGTTATCTATCGATTTTTCAAACTAAGCCACTGGTTTCAAGATTCTACTGGCAACCAAAATATTGGACATGTAAGATAAATCCACATGCATAAGTGTTTTAATGTTTATCTCATTTTTCGTAATCACGAAGTATGAAATAGTTCAATTAACCTAGTCCGCTGCAGGAAATTCGTTCTTACCCCGCCAACACCTGGCCCCGAGAATTAATTCTCGATTAGCTGCTAGCCTTCCCTATGGGCATTTGGATAAGGTAGACTTAACCAGCGTACAATATGTCAAATAAGATTTAACTCTGATACTCGGGGTCTATATACCCGGTCGCGAGTTAATGTTATGATTGACGGTTTTTTTCAGCAAATTGGCAAATACTGTCCACATACATGCAGTAAGTTGACGCGCCTTCTCAGGCGTGTTGCAGCATTGTCATCTGAGGCGCAGTTCGATTATCGTCAACCAATTAGATTACTAGCCCTGCACTAACCCCAAATCAAACGAGCTGGCAAATGTCCAGCCCCGAGGGCTTAATGCTAACAACCCTGCCAGCACATGGCCCATTCATACGTGGGACTGGGAAGGGGCTGGGTGGGGCTGGAGCCCCTCTGGATTAAAGCATTTTGAAGCGTATTTGCATCAAAAATTATGTTTCAAACGCACCACTCATTGTACTTTCTTTGGCATTAAAAGAAGCTAATTTATCAAAAGCGGTTTATAAATCATGAAAAAAGCAATCGCTTATGCTCACGGATGGCGGATAATATCGCGGGTCAACCAATGCTGTTTTCACGCTCTTGATAACTGCCTTAGTTAATTTATGTATCTTATGTTAATTGTTTTGGTATTTACTAGCTGACCAGTTCAAGTAGTCGACTTGTGTGTCTGTGTATGTACTACTTAGCCTTGGTGTAATGCTTAGACGTTTTAGTGAATATCCAAAGTAATTATGAAGCGTAATTACTATGGCTATCGCCGATTCACCATATACTAGGACATTAAGCGCCAGACGAAGGCATATGCCACTGAAGAGCCTGAGTCTGAGGTTCCCTCAACGTCGACAGCAATTGACAATCAAGTCCCCCAATGAGAAATGCCTATACTGAGCTCTGAAACTTCTATCGGTATGTTTTATGTGTGTGCGCCTCTGGGGACTCACCATACAGGTCGATATTTTTAAGGGGTGCCAAAAGTGGATGGAAATGTGTGGCCAGGCGAGGCTGTCGCGTAGAATGCCCCGCACAGCCCCTTCCACAGTCCCGCCAAGCCTCTTCACAGCCCCCTCTTGCCCCGTCATATTTGAGGCGGTTAGACGGGGCTGGTTCTGGCAGGGAAGGATGTGTGGTACCGCACACCAAAGGAATTTTCGGGCAAATTAATTGATATTGTAATGTGATGGTATATTGGATTTTACCACAGCTATAAATTTATGTGAACTGGCGGATTCGTTATTGACTTGAAAGATTAACACCGCAAATGTTGAATATATATTGCGAAACGAAACTGCAGAAGGCGGAGCGAATGATTAGAAAATTATGACACCAAAGTAATCAAAGAACTTTGGAAAGTATCAACGTAAAATTAGTTCAGTATTATTATGCGGGTGTTATGATCATTTTTGCACCATAACTGTGAAAATTGTTAAACAATCTGTAATACACCTAATTTTAAAAAGGCGACAAGTGGTACTAAGGCAGCTAGGACAACAACGACCGATTCAAGGTCGAGTGGTTAATTTCAATTCTCTAACTTCGGTTTTTGTTTTCGAACCACAGCTATGGTGACAGCAATCAACGCCTGAGGTGTCGATAAACAAGTCTATCCCGCGGAAACGGTTTCTGAACAAATGCCCTACTTACACCCAGACGATATACTGTGATCCCCTTTAGATTACATTAATAAACCCTTGCGTTCTCTTAACTTTTTACTGATACTATTGGGTTAATAAACTTTCATCTCGCTTCGCATTCCTCTACCTTCGATATCATGAGTGATGGCAAGTAAGCACAATGCCGCCAAAGGTAGTCCTAATGCTCTCGTCTAAGGAAGAGGATGCGCCAGTTAACCAAGCACAGGACCCGCTGAGGCATCAGATCCGCACAACTTCGATCTGACACATGTGACGTGGGGTAGAGCGGAAGTTACGGAAAAGTGGTTTAACAAATTCAGAGTCAACCGTAAAGGGCGAACACTGGTTATGATTTGGAATTTTAAACAGTGCTAGTCACCAACTCAACCGCAAATCCCTGAATAAATTGTTACATACCAACCTTAGTTTCGTGGCATATCAATCTAAATCTGGAAGCGGAGATTTCAGCAGTATAAGATATAGCGTTTGATTGGGGAGGTCAACATTGAAATGGTTACCCTGCCAGCACCAGCCGCGGCTGGCCACGCCTTACCGCCGCGGCGAGACGTGGCTACGACTCGGCCAAACGTGGCCATTTGGCGTGGCTAAGGTGTGGCCTTCGACACCACAGCCAGGTCTGGCCACACCATCCGAAAAAAAATGCGTGGCGCGCCCCCCCTTTCTCCATTCGTCCCCCACCCTTTTATGGCCTCCGTTTTTACTCGCGAGTGCACTCATTCTAGACTGGCGGCTGTCGCTGTAAGATTACATGTGTCACTAGATCCTCGTAGCCTCGGCTAAAGCAAATCAATTGATTGGCCATTAATGGTCAACACCCCGCGTAAGTGCACAACCGGACAACCGATAGGATCTCCCCATTCTCCATTCGTTCCCCGCCCTTTAATGACTTCCGTTTTTTACTCGCGAGTGCACTCATTCTAAACGGTCGGCTATCGCAGCACGATTACATGTCAGCTTCGGCTAAAGAAAATCAGCGGTAAACACCCCGCGTAAGTGCACAACCGGACAACCTAGTTAGCGTTCACTCTATCCCACGACATAGGAAAGTGGATAGACAATGGTTAGAAACGACGGTTTATTGAGTATTTACAAATGAGAAATCGGTACGAAAGATACAGGCGGGGATGCAGTTCTCCAATGGATATTAAAGGGCTTCCACTGGTTATGGGCAGTTCCTGTAAAAAAAGAACTGTGGTAAAACATGGGAAATGCTCTTGTCATTGAACTAATCAATAATGTCAATAGTAAGAGAAATGCAATTCCTAGGTGGCGTATCATAAGGAGGCTTCCTTCGGTGCAGGCCAGACGCGGGTCCGGCGTTCCGAGTAGTGAATTCGTCTGCCCGTCTCCAGGCACTGGAAATTCACGCACATAGTTCTATGTACATGACCCTAATTTGCCTCAGGGCTGATGCAGAGAAGCCCGGACGTCCTTTGCCAAATTCATTTATTTGCCCGTATTCGGTTTAACGAACCAATTTGACAAGAGGCAGCGACTGCGCGAAGTGATTAGGGACGCTAATTATCTACGCAGTCAACCAGGGCGGGCGCGACACTGATCACAGTAAAATGCGGGTCCGACGCAGACTCCAAACCGATCAACGAGGGCCAGGTAAAATGAGCTGGGTCTCACTTTTCGAACTCAAGAGATAGGTAGGCGGATTTACTACTTCTGCGAACGTCAGACCTCAAGCAGACATCATCGAGTTAATTAACAATGTACTTTGCAATAGTTATTACAATATAATAATTACTATTGCAAAGTACACTGTTAATTCATACATACTAGTATGTATACATACTTCCGAAATACATACTATCATTATAATTATTGAAAAGAGGGAAATAACATAAAGTGTGTTAATAGCAGTCTTTTTCAGTTAACTTACGTGTGCTTCGGAGGGGAGAGTTGTGGGCATGCGAGGTCATCAGTGGGGACTCCTTGAAACTGAACACATTTAGGCAGTAATTCAAAGCAAAATGTCGTACTGTGTGAATATTGCGCCTGCGTCTCGATCGTCCTCCATAACGGTCCTTCGACCCATGGAACCAATTAATGGCCGTAAGTCGAAGTACCTCCCTGTTGCAGTTGCTAAAACGGGGGTTTTGGTCGATGGCATCTGTATGTGCCAATAAGCAAAAAGTAGACCTACCGTTGACGATGCTAAATAACGGGCAGGCAAGGAACGACCGCTTCTCCTTGGATCCGCCCCTCCAGCAGAAGGTGTTACAAAGCGGCGGACCAATGAGAGCAGTCAGAAGATTTCTGACAAAGTCTTTTACACTCCGCCCTCCCACCATGGCCAGCTGTCTGATCTGAGAACAGTCAAACAAATATACACATACCGCCTTGTCTGCCAATTCCACCACAGTAGTTAGCCGACGAACGAAGTCTTCGTAGGCTTCGGCTGTGCACAGTGGCAAATGCAGACGAGAGGGCCCGACGTCGGCAGCAGTGGCACCCCTCTCTAATGCACTGACAGCATCAGTCATTGTTGCCTGCAGTTGCCGCACGCTGTTGTTGAGGGCTACCATTTGCCGGGACCGGAGAACACTCCAACAATGAAGGGCTGACCAACAACTGGACGGCGAACGCGGGCAAGAATCGGCCACAGGCCTTGATTAGAACCTTTGAATATCTTCATTCCGTCGATATGCAGTTGGATGCGCATTTCAGGAACGCCTGTTTCGGGCAGACTGTGCAGTTGATCCAGCAGACCACGTTCAAGACCTAAATGAACATAGTTGCGTTTGTTCAGGGGCTTGCTAATGCAGGTCCGAGGCGTTTGCAATAGCGTCCTTGGGTCTTTAGGTATTTCTGGGTGGTAGGGCCGCAGCATCCGAAACAACTTCTTTGTTGTGGATAGTGGCATTTGGGCCTCCAAGCAGAATTCCCGTAAATCCGCCAGAAAGCATTTGCCTGCGACCGCGTCCTCGCTTATGTCTACTGGCTCTAAATTTGCTATTGAGTAACATAGTAAGATGACTACCAGTGCAAACTTCTGGGACTAATTTGGGCATTTCTATTTCCGGTGGTTGGTCTACGACCGATGACGTAGAGGGAACGGAGGGATCCGCCATCCGCGCATAATATGCCTTCTTCTCACGCGCAATCCGCTTGTGCTCCGATGGAAGCCATAATACTTGCGCTTCATGATTGCTTTCATTGATGGGTATAAAGCAAGTTAAAAAAATTGAACTGCACTTGAAACGCTCACTGTGAGATTAAAATTGTAAGTAAGTTAGTAAACCTACTTGCATTGCATAAAAGAGATTAGTAATTGCGTAAGTAAGACCATAAAGACGCGATAGACATGAAATCGACGCGGGAAAACGTACCACCTTGTCGCGAGCGTCCGCTCGAGCAGTAGAAAAATGGCGTCCAAGTGGCCCACTTAAACAAAAGCGTCCTAATCGGCTTATCCAGGCAAATTATAATTCCCCAAGAAGTGCAGACTCAGGGCACTTTCTGGGTGAATTAACGTATATTTAGGCAAATGCGCAACATTAAAACACAGAAAATTTCGTCTAAGCGGCTGAAACGACTCTTGAAATTTCTCAAAATATGGCGCGGCCATGGCCGCGTCCAGCCACGCTTGGCCACACCCACAAGGCGGGGCCATGTGTTGGCAGGGTATCTAGTCTTTCCTCGGTGAATAAGTGGAGGTGATATGAAGATGAAGCTGGATGAGGTAACGATAAGGTAAGCGGATCCTTAAATATAGATTTCCAAGTATGACACCTAGGCCAAATGCGCGCTAGATGTTTGAAATAGTCCATAGGATTTTGATTTGTGTAGAGGTCTCGGATAAAATCCTCTGTGGATGGTTTGATAGTGACCACATTTTGACAAAATTAATCAAAATTTATGGTTTTTTAATGGAATTGAAAAGTTGTCTACATAAATCCTCAAACTTTAGTTCTGAGTCGCCTTTTGGGTACTTTGGCAAACACATCACCAATTTGACCTTGTCAGCATTTTACCCCTTATCCCGGCATTTGTAAAGCTGGTGACGTCTGCAGATATGTAGACGTGATGGCTCAGAGAAGCACTTTGTTGGCCTACAGTTCCGATCCATTCATGAAGCCACCAGTAAATGTAAGTAATTCATGAACAAAAAGTCACCTTGTTTATAGGATGTAGTCGTTATGCTACCGCACACCTAGCAACGTCAAAAACCCCACTCCCACGGAAGATGGCCACTTTTAATGCAATAACTGTTTGATAGTGAATTAGGGTTCAATAACGCCGATCTAGCGACGCATGGAAAGAGCTCGAGAAATGTTCATGATCTGGTTTTATGAACCCCAAAAAACACAACGAGTGCTCTACTTTTCAGGCCATTGTATCGCTCAAAGGCACTCCAGTGCACCGACCGACAAGAAATTCGTTTCGCCGTCCATGTCCTTCAGCGCCTGAATTCCCCCTCAATAGGTTCTTAAAATTTTGTCATACAATCTATTAGCAAATGCAAGACGCGTCAAATAGTTTGCTGAAATTTGGACCCATAACCGAGGTGCTTGTGCAACTGCTTGAGACGCTGGACGTCCAGCACTGCGAACCGAGAATCGAAGTTTAGTATTCGGGTAATAAATAAATAGCAAATAAGTTGTTATATCAAGTACTCCTACGATAACTACCATTGCAAGTAAAAACGAATTTTTAAGCGAATTCGACAACAAGTAAACGGACTGCGCAGAATTCAGTTCACGCTTATAGAATGAGCAGTCCGACGTGAAAAAACGGTTGCCAAGCATAAAAAACTCATTTTTCGAAAAAGACAAAATAACTGTGCTTTAATTAACTCTTAGGGAGAAAAACCTCTTGCTCATGAAAACGTAAATATGTGGGTCGGACAGGACTGGCTTGCATGTGGTTGTTTTTTATGGATCATAAACTGATATCATCAAGGCGAAATTCCTAAAACGAATAAGGCTGTCCGCGTCAAAGTGGCCATCCAAGAGGAAGCCAAACGCGATCAGTCACAGCTAGCTTACAGTACAGCCAGGGAGGGGACAATGAAGGCTGGTGCGGTCGACAAAGCATACAACGAGATGCGGCCACGGCACTTCTTTGCTGGCCGATCAAGCTACTAGCGGATGCCGTAAGCAGAGGATTCCGGCGTGATCGTCAATAGAAAGTATAGAATGCTTTGCTGGTTTGAGCGATGCGCATAAGCCAAAAACAGATTTCGGTTTATATACGGTAGTATTGATAGAATAAGCCAATACCGAGAAAACATACAGACATCAACCATTGGACACCATAGTCAAAGAAATCCTTTGTCACTATTCGAGTAAATCAAATATCCGGTCGAAGGTCAGAATTTAATACTAGTCATTAAAACAGCGCGGATCATCCTCGAAAGAGGGTTACAGAAGGGGAAAAAGGAATTTCAACGGGGAGCCAAAAATAGAAGCACTTGCGAAGACGACGTGGAGAATCTCACACATTGACCAATACAACAGATTGCTTCGGATCGAAATGAAGAGATGACATCAAGGGCCGCGAATCCGTCGTTATGGGGAAGGCGTGATAGCAATTGATGAAGAAACCAATTCGAAACAGTGGGTTGTAAAAATATGAGTACGGGTCTCCACTTGAGCTAGCAATTAATCCCAGGAGAACCCTTTTCAAACTCAAGAAGCCGAGAGTTGAGGAGTAAAGCCGCGAAAAGTGACTTTATATTTTCCAGTGTAAGGTGCTTGCGTAAGTTAGATTTGTGTGTGTATATCAATGTATATATTTGCAGGGTTAGCGGTAGAGCCCTTGATGACTTTATTTATGTACGGCGCTTTCGCAAATTCGCACTGAAAATAAAATCGCAGGCATCTGCAATGTGATCGGGTCTTAATGCAATCGTAATGATAAGGAAGTGCATCAGATCACTGTAAATTAGTGCGGAGGGATTGTATACGACCGTGTTTTACAGAACGGGCTGCGGGTAGTCATGCTGTAAAAGCCGATTTCTGTCGAAAATTAAACAAGCGAGTATTCTTTTAAACATGCTAATCGTGTCAGCCGTCACCATCTCGCTTCGAAGAGGGTTCCACGGTCGGACGACCCGCTGACTGAATGCAAAACTTCGCATGATTTAACCGCGTGTGCTCACTCTTGACTTTATAGGGATGACCGCGTAATTATTTTGTAAGGGGAAACCCAAAGAAGTCCGCCGTTGTTAATGACCAACCTTGGCCGCGGAAAATCCGGAATGTCCGGAATAGACTGCAGTTTATTTGCCTATAAGAGAGAGGGAATAAGCCAAGCACATTCAGCCTCTCCTGGTAAAACAAATGCTTTAGACCGTCAACCATTTTCGTCACTGTTCGTCGCATCTGTTCGAATAAGACCATATCCTTCCTCATGCATGGTGAAGTTGCTGGCATTCCATACTCCAGATGGGGTCTTACAAAGACGCCAAAAAGTCTTTTAAAGATTTTGAGAGGAAACATTTTAAATGCACGTCTGATCCGGTGTAGAGTACTCGTTGCCTTCTGGACCATCCTTCCTCAGTGTTCTGATGGCGATAAATTTGTGGTCGTCCATGCACCCAGATCTCTGTGCTTTTCTACATTTTCTACCGCCGTTCCGTTAATATAGTACTGGTGTTTGTGAGGTGCAAGACCACGCATTTGGACACGTTAAACTTCAAAAGCCATCTGTTCGACCAAGCACACCGTTTGCCGATGTTCGACTGCAACTTCTCTGCGTCATCATTGCACTTAGCTCCACTCCATACTTTTATGGTATCCGCGAACATCAGAGCCTTGTAATTCTCTTCGCCGATACAGTCATTAACATAAATCACTAAAAGTGCTGGAGCTAAGACAGAACCCTGTGGGACACCACTTTCCACATTTGCCCATCCCGAGGTAGAGTTACCAACGACGATGCTTTGCACTCTGAAGGACAGAAAACTCCTGATCCATTTAAGCATTCTTCCTTCAATTTCTACATCCCAGATGTTCTGTAAAAGAGGCCTGTGTGGGACAATGTCAAAGGCCTTCTTGAAGTCAAAAAATATGACATCTACTGCCAAATCCTTATCGGTAGCTCGTGTCCATTTCTCGTGCGAGTTGAGAACACTCGTTAGGCAGCAGCGCCTTGGATTAAAGCCATATTAAGCATCACACAATATTTTGTTCTGTTTCAGTATTTTATCAAGTGTCTTTTGATAATGCGTTCCATTATTTTACACGCGATGCAAGTAAGATTGACGGGTCGATAATTTCCGCAGTCAAGTCTTGAACCTGTCTTTTGGATCGGAGTAACGAGTGCGCACTTCCATCCTTTCGGGAGCTCGCCGTCTTCAAATGACCTTTGAAATATTGCGGATAAGGGTTTGCACCGTTTATTAGCAAGTCCACGATGTGCTCGTGCGGGAATGCCACCGGGACATTGCGATGTGGTAGGTTTCAGCCGGAGTAGTTCGGCCCTAACTATGGTAGATGGAAAGAGTGGTTCCTCGGTTTAGGAGGGTAAAGGGGGGGGGGTGAAGGCACTAGAAGGAGAGGGTGTTTGGCGAACGGATGGATGGGCAAATATAGAACTAGGTTCTCGGGCGAAATCCGACTGAATGAAGTCGGAAAGCAGGGACGCTTTAACCTGGTAATCAGCTTCCGCTTTTCCATCTGCAAACCTTATGGCAGGGATCAGCTCCTGAATTCATTTAGTATTTCATATTTAGTCACATATTATTTTCAAATGCTCCAACGAATTTCGTAGTATGTTCAGTTCGAACTTCCTTCGCAGCTTTGAAGCCTCAATTTTACAAACGTTTCGTTGTGGCTTACATTCCTGCAATTGTCCTTCGGAGCCAGTTTGTTTGTAACGCCTCCACAGACGATTCCTTTTTCTAAAAAAGACCTTTAAGTCCGAGTGTATCCATTTGGGCGATTTTTGATTGTCTTTCTTCTGAGAGGACGATTATATTAAATAACCAAATTTAGTGAGGAACTTATAGTATTCCAGTTGTCGTTTACCCGACAACGCAGTTCGGTCTCCCATGATACAGGTGAAAGAATAGTCCCTTTCCAAATGTTGCTCTCCCATCTATCGGGTTGAAAGGGTTTGTAAAACAGTGAGTACTCGAAGTAGACAGTGATCTGATCGCTTGACCCTAATGGCGGTCGGTCCTGCAGATCTAACACATTTTCCTCCTCTCGGACGAAAATAAGATCAAGGGAGTTTGACTGCTGTCCTTCCCTGGCCGATATTCCAAATGTAACATCCTGGTAGAGACGTTTGTCCGTTGCCCATTGTAGTACTTTGAGATTAAAGCTGTCTTTCGGCCCTTGTGCAGTCCACATTAATCAATCAATGCCAGCAGCGTTAAAATCCCCAACGATAAGGACATCTTCTCACTGACTTTGTTTAGTTCAGTCAGGAGCATGAGATCTTGGTCAGAAATATGGTTAGGTGAACGGTACATCACTGAAAGCGTCAGTGATCGGAAATTCTTAGCAGTTATGGTAACGCTTAGCAGTTCCACATCCCGTACCAGACTACGTACATCAACCATAGCGCTCAGCTTGCAAGTGACATACATTTTGACTCCTCCTCCTCCTCCTCCTCCTCCTCCTCCTCCTCGACCAAGTCTGTCTCTTCTGAATTGCTGATATCCTCTAAGTGATATTTCTGAATCTGCGATATCTTCTGTAAGCCACGTTTCTGTGAATGCCGTAATGTCTGGCTTAATTTCATCAATTAAGTCTCTTAGTTCGTCTAATTTTTTGAAGAGGCTTTGCACATTTGCGGAGATAACTTTCAATGACCGTTTCGTTGGAGAAGCCCGGCCTTTATTGTGACAGGTTCTGACCACAGGGAAGACTCCTTTATCTGGACTATTTGTCCATTTTTGATCTTCAGCCCTTTCTCTCCTCTGCTGATCCTCCAGGGTTGGTTATGACTGTCTAACGACGGCTAATAAACCAGAGATGGCCAGTTGAGTCTCCCTTGCTGTTGACGGTAATGTTATTCCGCCCATATTATGCGGTGCTGAGTGGCTACTGGTTGGGATCGAGGGAGAGAGAGTCCTAAGGCAAAACGGGACGAGTGAGTTCCGTAACATGATCAGTGAGCGCCCCTCTACCAGTGCAGTTCAAAGTTTTTTCTCCTCTTACATATTCCGTCACAGCGCGCTTGGTGTTAAATTCACCCGTCGACCTTGCTAGCGACTATCTCTTACGCTGGCTGCATAAAATTAATTTTATGATCCAAACTGTACACCAGTAGGACATGCCCGCAACCCTCAAACAGGAGCACGCATTGTAGCCGCAAAAGAATTAGCAAGAAATCCTCGTTAACCGTCGTTACACTCCAAGTATTTAGTTTTTCGCGGCGTTTTTAGATGCTCAGGATCTAGACCCCCAGAACGAATTAATTTTCTATGTCTTGGACTCAGTT